ATACTTAAACATACTTTTTCATATTTTGACTAAAGTAATGTTATAGAATTTTCTAATTTTTTAACAGAGTCTTTCTTTTTAAGTTGTTGGATGTTACTATCACTTAACTCGGCCAACAAATAAATAAAAATAATTATTATAATCATTTAGTTATTATGTTAGTATAAAATAACACATTGACAATACTTTTAATTTCTCAAGAAGCTGGTGATCAAATTCAGACTTCAAAAATAATATTGCAATTGAACTCTTAAAGCAGTAATTTCTACATCCAATGCTTTAATTCATTCTTTCCAAATTTCTACTGATTCAGTCAACTCTTCTACATTTGATTGAGGATCTTTTAATTTATAGTCATTAAGTGCTGTACATGCTTTCTCCATTTTTCTGGTGTTTACCTACTAAAGAATTAGGTATAAGTTTAATTAATAAGTAGACTCAACTGACATGAAAAACCATTACCTAAGTCATATTAATATTTAATAAAATACAAAAGATATACATAATACAAAAATGACATTCACGAACCACGACAATAATGTGTCAACTGTAAATATATATATATATAATATTAATTATGACTACTATAGTACCAGTTGAATTATGCAGTTTTTTCATTGAATCATTCTCATTCTGTTTCGCTTGTAGCTCACCTAACCTAACTTTTTGCATCACTGCTGGATCGCCGATTTCATTAGCTAATGCCTATATTATATTGTGAATAATTAATACCAATTATTACAAATAAATTCCCATTATAAACCATTCTTACATTTTGAGCATTTTTCAATTGTATTATTTGGTTACGGTAATTGCAAATCTTGTTATACGATGAATTAAACTTATCATTCAACTGTTTTAATTGTGCAAAAATTTAATAGAATGTTAATTAAACGAATTGATGATGAATACTATGCTATAGTATAATATTGTGATGTGTTATTCACAAACAGAGCATACTTGCAGAATCACCCGCAGATGTTGACCATTTGATTAATTGTAATTCTGTCATAAGTTCATAGTTCATATACCCTGTCTGTTAGCTGTGATATTTTTTTGTTTGCTTATTCCAGTGTGGTTTTACAATTAGATTTTAAACTATCCTGCTTGTTTATTATTATATTTTTGCTTTTAATTATTGATGACAAACGATTGTTTTCTTCTTCTAAGCTCTAATTAAATATGTCTATGAAAGAAATATGTTTAAAATATTTATAAATTCATTATCTTACTTTTATTTGATGTAAAAAATGTTTATTTGTATCTTCAATGCTCATCATGTCTATAGACTCAGAATATGATTGGACGGTCATCTCATTCCAGATAATAAACAGTTTATAAAAAAACTTTTGTATTGTCATGAGCCCCGCTTATTATTATTATATAATTTAGCATTATAATATTATATCATATGAACAATTTGTAATGTGGGGAAAGAACGCTGACTTGACATTAGAGATACGTACAATGGAATACCGTCCCGTACGGGCGAGTCAGTCTATGTATGTCTGCGTCAGTTAAACATAGTGTGTAGTAATTTTGGTCTCAATAAATTATTTTACTTAAATAACTAAACCTATCAGTGTATTATCACATCTCATCTTCCTTGTCGAAAGACTTCCGAAATGACGAACTCAACGATACCTGGTTTCGGCGGATCAACCCGGTGAGACCATAACAACTGGTGGCAGCGGTACCTTCGGAATATTAACAAAAGGAAGCCTTATTATCTGGAGACAACGAGTGCTAGCTGTTTAATACAGCATCCCCAATACACAGTCGTCCCTCAGGTGGTAATAACACAATTTATACGTTTTATAGGTTTTATAAGWCYTATACGTTTTACGTTTTAATACGTAAAACGTCCATATACACGTCATACAATCGTGTATCAGCGAGTCAGCAGAATACTYGGGTGTGGCACATCCTGTTCACACGCTCGACAAAATCCACTGTCTCGGCATTATTGAAAACACACTCGGAGGCGCTCGAATAATTCAGGGAGGACATCGTGCTCATTTCTACGGCTCACTTGCATTACACTGTAAGAGACGCTAAGCAGTCGCGGCATCAACAAAAACCCATTGACCCACAACAATTCTGTCGTGGAGCATATATAGGACATCGCCGGAACATTCTCCGTCACAGTTCGAATTACCCAGCAGACAACAATGAATTCAATCGCGAAAATTGTCACAATATTGTAAGTAATACCATTTACTATTTAGTATACACCTAATCACTATTGTATATGCACATTATAATATTTAACGTTATTTTGATTGTGATAATTTTTTTTAAATTTTTAACTACAATAGTATAAGATTATTGTATGTCGAGTAATTCGGATAACAGCTGTCCTAGTAGTCCTGACCTAACAGACAAAGACCCTGATTTCAATATTAATAACATACATACAGATCCTCACATATCTCCACGAGTTACACGTTCTAAAACAAAAATTAATCCCTCTGTTACTGATAAAAATAACGAAATTGATTTAATCAGCTTCGATTCAATCGTTAATTTCGAAATGTCGGAACTATCTCTAGAAACGGCYATTAAACTCATACCTCATTTTAATGGCCAAAATGACGATGATATTTACCCTTTCATAAACGCTTGCGAATTCGCGATGTCATGCGTAAAAGAAACGTGTAAACCTATTTTACTAAAAGCGATWAGCACTAAATTAAGCGGTAAAGCATTTACAGTAACACAAAATAGGGAAATATCAGACTGGGTTGGATKCAAATCTTTACTAGAATCAGCATTTTGCACAAAACGTACACCTGGTTATTTACAACTGGAACTTAACTCTACTAGGCAAAAATTAGGGGAACCAGTACAGGATTATTCGGGAAGAATAGAGAAATYATTCCACGAATTATGTAATGTTAGTATAACAGGTAAAAAACCAGTAGAAGCAGATGCTATTCGGAATTATATCAAAGAAACCACCCTCACATCATATGTAGAAGGACTACATCCCAATTTAAGGCAAATAATAAAAGCAAAAACCATACCGACTCTCGAAGAAGCTATTAAAGAAAGCCTAGAAGAAGAAAAGTTACTTGAGTCAAACAAAGAGGCCAGACGCCTTCTTCAGAATAACTCTAAACCAAGAACAAATTATAGCACAAAATATTGTAATATTTGTAAAAGAAATAATCATAATACAATTAACTGCAGATTTGCCKTGGAAAATAAGCAAAAACAAGAGATTACTCAAAAACCAAATACCACACCACAACCAAAAATGGTACAAAAATTAACGTGTACATACTGTAAAGCAAGGGGGCACATTAAAGAAGATTGTTTTAAAAAGAAAAGAATGGACAATAAATACAATCAACAAAACACGTCGGGAAACGAGTCCAGACCGAGCACGTCGGGCGAGCGCTCGGTCAAGGAGATCAAAAATTAGCCCAAGCATAAAAAGAACACTACCTGTAGTAATCAAAATGGAAGATAATCACGTCGCATATTCAAGTCTTCAATCTCTCACAGGAAAATTCCGCCTATTGGTAGATACAGGAGMGGATCTCAACATAATAAAAATTAATAACTTAAGCGACGAAGTGATAGTAAATACCCATGATCGACATCAACTGYAGGGTATAAACGGTCACTTAGTTCAAACTATCGKTTCAACATGGCTTAACCTTGATATGAGCAACTTCATGTCGGAAGTTTCAGTTCAGAACAAACTTTCTGAAACCAAATTTCAAGTGGTACCGTCTACGTTCCCTATTGATGGAGATGGAATTTTGGGCAAACCTTTTCTGAAGGAGAACAAAATTATCATCGACGTAGAGCGCGAGGTAATCACTTACCCGGAGGATACTACAACAACCATACCGTCACGAAGTGAAGTGATAATTCCAATACGAGTATCAGCCGAACTTGAAGCCAAATCGTGCAATATTTTAATACACGCTCAAAACATTAACGAACACATAATTTGTGGAAATGTTTTAAACACAATAAAACAAGGACAATTATTAATAACAGTAATAAATCCAACAGAAACTACACAAATAATTAATGTACCGAAATTAAATGAGCTATCGCATGATATTTTTGAAACAGTGCCCATCAAATGTATACAGAACCAGGGGACTCCAAATAATGCGAACAATCGTATTCAATTATTAAAAGAAAATCTGAGATGCGACCATTTGAACCAAGAGGAAAAAGAATCCATCATAAGATTATGTACTGAATTTTCCGAAATTTTCTTTTTGGAAGGTGATAAATTATCATGCACAGAATCAATTCAATATGAAATAAAAACGCCAAAAGCAAACCAACCAATCTTTCAGAAATCGTATCGTCTCCCTTATTCACAAAAGAAGGAAATCGATAAACAAATTGAACAACTCVAGCAAGACGAAATAATTAGCCCAAGTGAAAGTCCTTGGAATGCACCACTTTTAATAGTTYHAAAAAAGTCGGATGCATCAGGATTACAGAAATATAGAGTTGTGGTTGACTTTAGAAAACTCAATGAGATAACCATTGGGGACGCTTTTCCGATGCCAGATA